TGATTTAACTAGCATCAATAATCCATTAATAAGTAATTATATCAGTAATATTTATCCTACAGTTCTACAAGTCGAAAACACCTCTATATCAAATATTGAACTACAATATTTAAATTTAGACATTAAGATAATTAATAATTATTGTAATATAAATATTTATGATAAAAGAAATGATTTTACATTTCACATTTTTGGACTTCCCTCGCCAAACAGTAATGTATCAAATAATGCTATACAGAGCATCATACATTCACAGTTACTCAGATATTGTAGAATTTGTAATTATGAACAGTTCCTTATTTCCAACATTAATATATTAGTGAATGAATTCAATTTTAATAGATTTAATAAGATAACTCTAATTAAATTTTTAAATTATTTTGTAAAAAGTATACAAAATATATATGTAAATTTAAAAATAGTAGTATAAACGAATTCATAATATACACAATAAGTCATAATTTCAAATTTTTGTAGGGGAAATTATTGGAATTACTTATTTGGACTGTATCTTGTATAGGTGTATTAATGTAGATGTATCACTTCCCCTATACAAGACCTGCTACTATGTAATTCTTATAGAACCTTTGAAGATCTTGGCAGTTGCATGGATGGGTGGAGAATGGGAGCTATACTAGCAATTTAGGTTTGGCTTGTACAGTAATGTCTTAACATCGTGGTATTTATGTCCAAACATCATTATGGGGGCTGGAATGCCAACTTCAAGGACGGTTTTACTGTCTCCCCAATTAATGTATGTATTCCAATTATTTCTTTCTTCTTAAATTTTTTTTTCAGCAGACACCTTCCTACATCTGGCTGCAGACAGTGAAAGGTGGAAAAGATGTGGGTGCTCTAGCCAACAATGTCTATTATTATTATTAAGAATGTGAGGCCTGCAAAACTGATGTTAAACTGGATAGACAGTGTACTCCCAATGTAATTTGGGTCTTATTTCTGCCAGTACCACAAAAACCAGGGCACAATGCATAACTACCCACCTTATGGCATGTACATGTGGTACATGTCTGTTTTGTAGATGTGTTGTTCCTCTTTTCTTTTATTTCTTTCATTTTCTACATAATATTACAATTAATTATTTATACATATATATATATATATATAAACACATAAATGCTTGGAGATTGATTATTTTTCTCAGACAGACTCTACAAATCACTCATAAAAATTCCCAATGAATTTAATTGGGGGAATATTCTAGGATATATACATCTTTATTTATCTCTCAGTCATGTTTCAATCATATTTTCTCATCACTTAGTTCAAGAGTATTTGTAGCAGTTGGAAAAGGACACTTCTGAAGTTTATCTGGAATACTGTTGCATATTCTAGAATATTCCAGAGTACTCCACACTATTCAAAATGTTCAAGAGTATTTCATATTCAAATAATACAAGATGACACTTTTTACATCTGGAATACTCTGTACAATATGACAATAGTGTGTGGAATTTCTGTGAGGGTATATAAGTACTTAAGCAGATTCTTCCGTGTCATTTCAGCTAACACTGTTTTGGCATATCATTGCAAATGAATGCTGCAACAAGTAAGACTACATTTTGACTGCTTGGTTCAGAAGAAATTGAACTACCAGGAATTAAAGTACCTTTAAATATGCAGGTGCTGTGTGTGTTGTTCTACCATAACAAAATAATAAAGAAGACATTTAATGAAAGCTCAAAGTTTGTGATCAAGGAAGTTGCAGTTTTTGGAACAAGGCTCAAATTCTAATTTGCCCAGAACATCATGCCATTATCAAACTGGAAAAGCTTTCTGAAAAATGGGCAAAGCTAAAGAAAAATTAAAAAGCGAAAATTGAAAAATAGCAAGCTAATGAAGAAGAGTTTGTCAATAATCTGGATAACCTTTTTGACACTGATATGGATGATCTAATCCTGATCAAGATTCCATAATACAAGAACTTTCTTCTTGTTCAGAGGGAAAGAGTACATTCTGGATGCATGAGCCAGGTAGATAAGGTTCTTTCTTTAAAGGAATCAAGGGCTAAGACAAGTAAGACAAGTATGGACAGGAAACAGCATGCAGAGCAAGAACAGGAATGATTATGTGGTTAGCAAATACTGTATCAAAAACAGTGATGAGAACAGAGAAGCATTTGGAGAATCATAACCTCCTAAATCTAAAAAGAGGAAAAGAAAAATATTAACACTCCTGATTTAACATCAGCTATGGACAGAGCCAAGTTGAGTAACAGAAAGGTGACATTTGTCCTTACTGCCACAACTCACAGTTTTGGTCATTATGTGCAGAAGCTAACCATAAATTGTTCCTCAATTCAAAGATTCTGACATCTCTTCCACAAAGAACTTGTCAAAAACGTAAAGGATAGTTCCATCCAACAGCCTTACTTGTAGTTCACTGGGATAGCAAGCTCCTTAATGATCTCACAAGGTAAGGTCTATTGATCCTGTCTGAAACTGGAGTAAACCAACTCCTAAGTGTTCCAAAGTTGGTTTCTAGCAGTAGAAAGGCTCAAGCTTCTGCTGTGATATATCTAGTGGAAAAGTAAGGAGTTACTGATTATGTAAAGGTAGTTTGCTTTACATAACAGCAAGAAACACTAGTCACAAAAATGGAGCATGTGTGCTGTTAGAAAAAAGATTAAACAAGAATCTTCTTTATTTGGCATGCTAGCATCATATCTTAGAACTTGTCCTGGCATGTATTTTTAAAGACTATATTGGGCTTTCCATCAGGTCCAGATACTACAGTTTTCAATCAATTCTAGCAATCTTGGGAATACATGTACTAGTCAAGTTATAAACCTACAGCTTACCATGATGAAGAATCAGAAGATATAGTCTATCTTATGGTATAGTTCACTGCTCCTGATACCATTGCTGCTCCTCACAATGATCTTAACTTCCTGCAATATCTTGTTACGTATAAGAAGGTGAATTCTGCTTTTTCAAAATCTGCCTGTCAAAAATTTGCTGGAAATCTATGGTATCTCAATGAGGAACACATTAGTTTGGCATTCTCTGATTCAGCTGTATCTACAGAGATAAAACAAGCAATGGTAAAGGCACTAAATGAGAAGAAAGGCATGGATGAACCTCCAAAATTCATCCAGCTGAATATTAATAAGTCTGATAACAAGCCAATTGAAAATTTCATCATAAAGAACACAACAGACTTCTTTTGGTGCCTTGAAATTCCATCTGGATTTCTGGATTATGACCCCAAGTCATGGTAGCTCAAAGAGGACTACAGGAAGGCATCACAGACAATCAAACACTTGAATGTGGTAAATGACAATGATGAAAGAAGAGCATGATGTCATCATAACAAAGAAAGAACAAAAACAATTCCTCCTTCAAGTTGTGCAGAACCACAGATGCTCTTCTAACAGCAAAAAGGAAACAACACCAAAGTCATAAAACTATGTAACTAGACTATTTTACATACAGTAAAATACTAATATACTTTAAATAGCTCATTTATAATACATAAATATGTTTCTTATATCACATACAGAGGGTAGTACAGAAAATTAATTTGAGCTGAGGGTTGAAGGGGGATACTCAAAGCAAAAAAACTAATAGATACTTTTAAATTTTATGTTATATTAATATGCATCTATTCAGATGGGTTTTGGGGTTAGACAAAATACCAAAAGATGAAATACAGAAAAAAAAAATTTGAGCACAATTTTTTTTCTTTTTACTTTTTATTTCTGACCTAGCTTGTTTATGACATGGTTTTTTGAACATGAGTGCCAAACATTTTGCATTTGAAAGTGATAACCACTCTCAAACTTAGCCTGTATCACCCCTAACATAGTATATATAGTACCAGGGCACTGCAATTTACAACTTCAACCCCATTCAGCAGCATCTAAATATGATCCAAGATGGATGAAGTTTGACATTTAAAATTTTTTTGTACATTGGAACAAAATTAGGAGGTGGGAGCTTTGGAATTTTAAACCTGAAAGTTTACTTGCAAATAAAGACTACCCTAATGATCAATCAATTAAACAGAACTAAAAAAAATTGGGAACATAAAATCATAGAAAAATATGTTCACAGTGCTTATTCAGCTACTAAATGTAGAGAAGACATGGGTTATTAGTACCTTACATAGCCAAAATTTTAAGCTACACCTATATAATTTAAGTGCTTCTCATTAATATAGTAATAAACATACACTAACCACTCATGGCCATTAATTAATTATTATCTCATTTTCTTTTATGAACATAGGATAATATCATGAATTTATTATCACACCTACTAACATCACCACCTTATGCAGTCTGTAATTGGTCATGTGACTCAAAACTGTACACCTCCACCTCATCCATGGACTGTTCTTATAAATATATAGGTAATTTAAAAACAACAAACATTTTACGGATATTACGGGTGTCTCTTTCCTTACCAAAACAAGTATGGAATACTCGTTTAGCCTATAGGCCAAAACTTAAAGATCTCCCAATTTCTTTCTTTATTCCCAAGCAGTGTCAACGTTTACGATCGATGTAAATGCAAGAAACGATGGGTACGGATTTTTTTATACTAAGTTTAGAGCCCTAAACTCAACTAATAAGGCTAAAGTTTTAAAGTTAAAAACTAAACTAAAATACTAAACCTAAATTGTTAAAAAAACAGAAATCTGGTAACACGGGTGTTTTCAAATGTAGCCTTAGGCTTAACTTAGTTGAACTTAAACACTTGATAATCACTGCTTCAGTTCAGGAATCGCTCAGCAGCTTCACATTAACTTATCGTGTTCCATTTCTTTTTTAATTATTTATATATTTTTCGTTATTCTACGTGAATATTTTATTCTTAGCAAAAATGACAAGGTAATACTGAAAATGTGAAAATAGTTAAGTCTAGCTTCTACTCTACTCTAACTCTCAAACTCTAGTAATAGTATACTGTAATGTAGTGTATAGTGAATCTAAGTTACATGCCATGGTTAGAATTCAAAGCGTAACAGAAACAACTAACCCATCAGTAAATCGCAGATATCACTGTTTTGGTTATCTATTTCTGTGGCTTTTCGTTTACCCATTTTTTCACTGATAAACCGAGTTTGTACTATTTTACTTTTTAATTACCACAACTCGCATATCGTAATCCCACTGTCCTAGTAACGCATCTAATCACTGTTGTTTATATTGACACTAGTGCCATCTAGCGTTTAGTTAGATTGGTCAAATTCGAAATTAGTGGTACACGTAAAAGAACAGTACCCATTCATGTGTCTGCATCATTTTCTTCGAGGGTCGTTCAGGTTCGTGAAAAAGTCGCGTTGACCGAATTATCATCCCATTCTCTTAGCTGAAGAGGAGAACTTTAAGTGTGACAGATTAAAGAAAACTTGTGCCAACACTATGTGTGGTAAGTACTTCTGTGTATGCTATTCTTTAAAAGTAAAATTATTTTCATGTTTTTCCAGTAGTGAGTACAAGCTTTAAATAACCTCTTCCTGGTGGCTCGACGGTAAATTAGTGGACTTATAAACTATAACGCTAAATCTGGGTTTCGATACCCGCGTTGGGTAGCGCACAGATTGCCAATTGTGTAGTTTTGTGATTTACGACAAACAAACAAAAAACTTTAAATGTTTTTCGAAATTCAGATATGAATCATAACAGCTTGCCTTTAATTTATTTTCTCAATGTGACTTCTTATAGAAAGCTATGTTAACAATAGAATTTTCAGTAAATCTTCTTTTCAAATCATTTAAATGTATGGTGTTATTGGGGAGACAAATCAAGACTTAACAAAAATGTTATTTATTCTGATTTTTGAAATGCCACTATAAAAAGGTACGTGTAAGATATTACTAATTTTAAGGCTTAAGCAAACATACTCATTTTATAGAAGAACTGCTCCTCAGCGTACTTCTTTACTGATAATACATGCTTATGTTTTTATTTTAAGGTAGGTTTGGGTAGTGTGTTGGATACTTTATGAATCTTCTATGAACAAGAAATTATCTGGCGTGTTTTCTTTTCTTTTGGTGACAATGCTGAGAAGACTCCTAAATTTGTTTATGTTTTGTTTAACAAAGTTTCTATTACAGGCAGATGGAGAAAACTATTTATTTCAAACTACAATAAGGCTATTGTGACAGCTTTTTGTGTTGTTCCCGATTACGTTATTGATGCTATAATTTAATCAAATGTGATAATTCAAATATATTTCCATACAAGAAAACGTTTATTGTGTTCGATACACATACACATCGCTTAATGTTTCAGGCAGCCCCAACTTTTCATTTATGACTTCAAAAATATTTTTTATTAAGTCAATTTTGAAGAAAAGAACATCAAATTTAAGGCTTACAGTACCCCAACAAATAAATATACAATATAACAGCGTATTAATTAATGACTTCCAGTTAATATTATGTGACGGTCGGATGCCCCCTATATCGAATATAAATGTATTCGGTTCGATCAAATGCTACTGTGTAACCGGTGGCTCATAGAAATTATCAGCATATTTGAGCATAAGTTTTGTTCTGAGTATACTATTAAGTGTATGCACAATTCGGTCCATAAACATGACTACAGTAATATACGTAAATTATATTTAAATACCTCAGCCCACTCCTCTACTTTCGAACTCGATCCACGAGATCTGTGTTCATGATGAAAAACTGGTATCGCAATAAAAACTTCTCATAATTCTTTCTTATCAAAGGAAACGTGTTTAGTGCAAATTCATAGGCTACAGTTGTACTTGTAAGATCCTCAAATACTTAAAATTAAACATCAGCTAAAAATCAAGACACGAAAGTGGACTACTTGCTAAGTGACCTGGTTCTTACTAGATTGACTAGTGAAACTAGAAAAAAGTTCTAGAAATGGTCTAGACTTTTAAGAAACGACGGCAAAACCAGAGAGGTCGTTACAAAACCGAACCGTCAGCTTGACTAGACTCTTACCTAAATGCAGAACATTTTTGAGCTTTGCGTTGTATTTCTTAGATTATTTAAATATGGGGTAATATTATACATATACGCAAACTAGCATGCAATTGTTTTTAATAAGGCAATTACTGAATTTGAATCCGTTCGATTGAAAGTGGTAAGGTTGTGGTTTGTGTTCAAAACGATTAAGCTACCACAACTTACTGTTTCCTTAACATTTTGACAAACCTGATTGTTCTTATTAATTGTTTTTCCTGTCAAAACTAGAATTACAGGAATAAACCCAGACTTCGTGACACAGTAAATATCTCATAATTGTGTTCACGATATGTATTATTTTCATTGCTAAACCTTATGATAGCTTGTGGACCAGCGGTAAATCAATGCTTATAATGCTAAATATGGGATTTCGCTAACCGCTGTTGATGTAGCAACAACTTTTGATCTAAAGTGTTTACATACTGTGAATGCAAACAGAAAAAACATAACTTTACACATAAATAAATGACCTAATCCTAAATAATCCATAAAAATGCGAGTCATTTCACATATACTAAAAGCAGGAAGCTTTTCTTACCAAACTAATGTTCATATAAACGCACCATAAAATGGATGTCTCCATATGAAACTCTTATCCCAAAATTTAAAATTTCGTTAGTCATAATCCTAATTCGTTTAGGACCTGATTCAATTAGCTATTTTTGACATCATATTTCACACCCGTATTCATATATATAAAGCCTGACACAAAAGCCGCCCCACCTCCTTTTTTTAATTTATTTTTTGGTTTCGAGCATTTGGTAGTGCAGCAGCAGTAATATTTATATCCTGTTTGCACTGGAATGTGATAATACTAAGCTATGCTAAAATATAACATGTTAGAGATTATACATAGTTATTTAAAGAAACCCAGATACATAGCTTTGTCGTAATTTCAGTAGCTAATCTTAATATATAAAGCATTATTGTAGGGTATGTTTTCTACATTTTGATATCTGTGTTATTTTTTGCTAGTAAGAGTTTTGAACATTACGTGATGAATGCATGGCTTAACAAATAGAATTGTCTTGAAAGCTTAGGAAGGGATTTGAACATTATAAAAGTGTGTTAGGGGAAGCTAGATTAGATTGTTGATCGATTATGTCAGTCAATTAGCTAATTGAGCGCTGTAAATTTTTAGTTTTCAGCGAAATGATCAATACAAGAAGTATCGTATTTACGAGACATTTAACAAATAAAGCATTTTTATTGTGAAATTAGACCTTTCGTCAGTTGCGTGGAACTTGTAGTTGAAGAAAGAAAACGCCTTCGTTATTATTAAGTGGAGTGGATGTTGCACTCTTGTTTTTTCTACGACTAATTCAAGATGTATTAATTGTTTGAACAAAACTTCAGTCAAATGTAACATTTACAGTGAGAAAAAGAATGAAACAGGAAAATATCGATAGACATATTGAATTTCCGAAAAGACTTTAAATATTGAGCTCAAACATATAAAAAATAATTAAGGAGATTCAGTTTTATTCTCGTGACCTGTTATTTTATATATCCAATGTCTTGTCCTTGTGCTTCAAAAAAAACATAGAACATAGAGTTAATCACAAGGAACAGTTGTTTAATGCTGTTCATAAAACCCTTGAAAATATTGCTTTGAGCATCTTTATATGTATGTCATGATCATTTAAGGGACACAATTATAGCTTATATTTAAGGCTGTCCACATGACTCCTAATGTCCATGGACTGAATACCAACTTGTAAAGACGAGAAAGTGGGTTATTGATGGAGAATAGTCTGGTCGTAGGCCAATAGGTTAAAGCGATGAACGAGAGTAAGATTACAGATGACCGGGAAATTAGGACCAACGTGTTCAAAACTGGACACACGTACAAATACAGGTTCTACAAGTGTTCGCGTGCATTGATTTGTTGCTGACCTCAAATCGTTCGGTTTTTCATTGATGAATCACTATCTAATATTAAATTGTCATGAGCCTAGACACAAGCAAACAAACTGTATTCAAGAAATAAACCAAGTTCTCAGCTCTCTCCTATACCTTCTAAATTAACTTTTTGTAAATGAAAGTGGGTTATTTCTTGTCTTATATTTTACGTTTATTTGTAAGAAATAATGACGCCAAAGTCCAGCTTAATGTAAGTACATGAAAAATAAACTGAATTATATAATAATCAGGTGTATACTTACGGCCATCTAATTAAAGTATCGCGTCTTATTAAACTAGACTATTCTCATAATAGGACGTGATTAAAAAACATGGGCGCAAGGCTGAGAAAGGTATTGTTCATTTGAGGAATTATGGGATATAATTTAAAATGATCCCTTTCATTTTAAAGTGTTTTGAGGGTTATTATCTGGTACATAGGCAAACGTCAAGCACCGGTGAATGGGGTCGTTGAATAAATTCTTAACTGTTGTTTGTTGAACTTCGCGCAAAGCTACTCGAGGGTTGTCTGCACTAGGTATCCCTAATTTTGAAGTGATAAACTAGAAGATAGGCAACTAGTGAACACCACTCACCACCAACTCGTGGACTACTCTGTACGAAGAGTTGGATTTGATCGCCATGCTTATAACATGCCCACGGCCCCAAAATGCGGGGCGCGATTTTATTTATTAATTATTTTTATAGTAACGGGACTCGAACCACGAAATTTTGAATATACTGTCCGGCATGCTAACCACTGGAACACTGTTAGTTGCTTAAACACTTCAGTGGACTTGCGCCACCTTTAATATTTTGTCTACTGATATTTGTTAATAATATACGGTAAACTATATTAGCCATTAGTTCCAATAAGAGAAGCAGAGAAAAACGACACAAAGTAGAAGATTTGTAAATATTCAATCGATCGCTCATCTTTGGTAGTTTTGTATATATTACCCACTAAACAAGAGTTACGGCCGCATTCAAAATATAATCCTAGGTCCTCACTGCTTTCTTACAAGCAACGGGCCCTATTTGTTATTTAACTTGCGTTAATTCATAACTCTCAAGTCAATTCCAGAACGAATAAGTGTTATCTGGTGTTGTAGGGCACAGATAACAGTTATTTAATTACTTGAATTTGAGAAAATTCACCATATGTAATTGTAGCACCCACAATCAAAAACTCGCTAGATATCACTAAATCATATAACTATATATATATATATATTATAGAAAATATACTTGTTTTTAATTTAAGTTTTCTTCATCTAAATAAAAAATTGGCAGAAGTTATAACTT